CACAGTACAACTCGACGCTCGGCTAAACTCAACAGGAGGGGAACATCACTGGAGATAGAAGACAAAAGCCAACAACGCTGTAAAATCCTTCTACAAGGCTTAAATCTCTTGGAGAGGAAGATATTTCAGGTAGAAAATCCAAAGTCTAGTCTTCTAACGTCGACAATCCATTGAAAGGATAACAACACGAATAAAGCTTCAGCTGGAAGGAGTCGTGCTTAGCTGGAGGTACTGGGAACACCACCCTCTGATAAAGTGTGCAATACATAACACACATTCTGACAAGTCTAGATTGCCCCTGGGACCAAATTGGGTGCCCCAAATCACTGCTGACGAGCTGCATGATGCACGACGATTGCTGCGAATAGCTTCACTTCTACAAATCCCCCAGGCTATCTGGTTGATGAGGAAAAAGCGTCTAACGAGGGTTTTACAAAAGACTTGGCATTTACCATGCTCTGGTGTCTTCAAACTCTTAGAGGAAATCGTCCAACCTTGACGTGATTGCCCCGGATTGACTGTAGTCGGCACAACAAAGTCTTCGAATTTTTGCCCCAGACGAGCAAACAAATTGGGAAAAGCAATAACTAGGAGAAGCAACCTGTCCATGCTTAAGGTCTTCAACTGACATGCCCCTGGATATGATTTCCTTGAATTGATTCCCAACTACTCAACATAGTTTCAAGCCTTAAAAGGGTAAACTCATCACTGGTGTTTATGTGAGCTTCCTTGACATCAAACGCATGTTTTGCAGTTAGGAAGAGTTTACAATGAGAATGAAAACTCTAATGCAACAATTATGTAAGTCTTGAAGATTTTGAAAAGATATCGCACAAGTTGTGCGAGTTAGAGCATCATTTATTTTCGTATAGGAAAAACATATGATACCAACATAACTATTTGAAACTCATGGGAGTCAGGAACAATATCTCATTGAAGTATGCTTTCGAAATGACCTTGCTTCAATTAGGACTTTTGAAGGTTGTAATGTGGTCTGGTTTATGGGTTTTTTTAGAAAAAGGTCTTAAGGCTCGAAATATTTGGTGCCCACCCATTCTTCATGATGTTCTCCAACTCTATGTTCGGTTAATTCAACATGAGTGTTCATCTCTCAAAGGATTTTGTGACGGTAACATCTTCCTTGCGAATTTTGAACACTCAATCAGACTAACTGAACACTACCCTGCCCCAGTTAAAAATTCAAGGTTTTTTCGTATAGAAAAGAAACTTCTGCTTCAAAGGCTCGAAAAGGGTTAGCAAGGGATTATCCTCCTTATATCTCCGGTGTTTAGGGATTTGAAACAATGCCTGTACATCATCAACAAGATCTTATTCAAAAGCATGCAACCAAAGATTTTGTGTTCTTTAGATCATCATCCCCCCTTCAATCTCTGCCTAGGCAAGAGAATGGGCAACATGTTGGTATCATAATGCAAAAAGAAATTTAAAATTTGAACGCAAATATGAGTGAAACGAATGAATTTCTTCAAGACAAACATACTCATTGTATTAAAATAATCATTCAGATGCCAACAAGTTCTTACATGCAAACAATGTTTCGATAAATAAGAAAAGCTACAAAAACAGAAACAAGTTAATAATCTGGGAAGGCTTTCCACTTGAACTACCGAAAACATCTTCAAAAACTCAAAGTCACCCTCAATCGTGTTTACTCTTCGGCGCCTGTTGGATTTGAACTTCAAAACCAACGTCCTTGAATGACAAGATACCACCTCTGACCAACTTCTGAACCTCAATCTTCAAAGCAAAGCAACCCTCCAAGTCATGCCCACGAGCACCTTGATGAAAAGTACAAGCCAAATCAGCTTTGTAGTTCCAATGTAACTTCTTAGGGACCTTCGGTGGAGGTCGGGTCTGAACCAAATTCCTCTGCATCAGGATAGGGAACAACTCTGTATAGGTGATTGGAATTGAATCAAACTGGGTTTTCCTCTGATTAGGAACTTGCTGATTCTGAATGTGATGAACATGATGATTCTGATGATGAACATTTCTTCCTCTGGTTCTCTTCTTGGAAAAGTCATTATCAAACTTCTTCACACCATTAGCTGCGCTACCGTCTTCATATGAACATCCTTTTCCGACATCTTCTTCTAGACGCACTCTCACATTCACCTTGTCAAGAAGGTCGTTGGGTGCATTAACCGTCATCTTTTCATGAGGAAAAGATTTTAGAGTTTCCGTGAAGACTTTTATCCTTGCTTCCTCCCTCCTAGACGGATTGACTTGGGCGGAGATCAGAATTTCAACCAAACCAGTTAAGTGATCCAAACCAGCTTTCAAAATAGTCACCTCTCTGCGGAGTTCAGAAACCTCTTGCTTGATATTCTCCATTATCCTCTTAGCGCGAGTGTTGTACTAGTGAGACCAAGGGAAAAAATAAGACTCGGAAAAAGACCTTTGAAAGCGAGACAAAGAAAATGTAGAATGATGTATGATATGCAAAAGAGAGTTTTATTTGACTTTCAAGGAACTCAAGATATCAAGTTATAAACATCCAAGTATGAAGATAACAGATGAATTTTAAATTGGCTTCAAACATTGATCAAGTTATCGTCAAGATCAATCATCCATTTTGGTGGATTAGGGTTTTCGCCCTATCGACACCCAAGATCCATTGAGTTTGACGAAACTAGTGATGTTTACAAAGAAAGACCTCCAACCTCCTTCAAAGTCAAGTGAAAAGAGTTTTATGGATGCATGAATGCATGGAGATGCAACAACCACAAGCAAGGTCAAAAACATGGGGTTAAAAGGTTCCACGTTCCGCATGGAGTCGAGGGTAAAGCCCACCCAAAGGTATGTACTAAGGGTTTAATCACACCTGTAAGACAAGGTTCTAAGAGTTCCCAGAGTCTACATTCCTCCTTCGGATATTGCCAACGTCTGGATTACTCGATAATTAGCAATATTCTCAAGAGAAACTCGTCCGAGCGTAGCATCGCGTAACAACTACTTCCGAATTACTCCGTTATAGTCTCCGCGCTACACCTAAAAAGGCCAAGATGGGTTAGGGTTCTACGGTCCTTAACTTCTCGGGCTCCTAGGTCGAAAATAATAATGTCTTCCCGATTACTCGGTAAACAAATATTAAGTTCAAGAGGGCCTTCCATTGAGTGGGGGATCTCATGCCTCCTTCTTCGGGATTACTCCCTCAAAGTTAACATGACTATACCGCCCGTCCTATTCCTTAAGTGTTACTTAATCCGGGTATAGGATTCGTCCTTTGCAAAAAACCCAAACACCCCAATTTAAACATATAATCAAGCAAATCAAATAATAGTAAACAGATACAACAAATTAGGCTTAACCCACTTAGGGATGGACCAGCAAGAGGTCAATCTATCCCCAGCAGAGTCGCCAATTCTGTAGCGATAAAAAATGTAGCGGGGTAAATCGGAGATCGAATTATTGATTAATTCGTCTCACAAAAGCAAGAGTCGCCAATTCTGTAGCGATAAAAAATGTAGCGGGGTAAATCGGAGATCGAATTATTGATTAATTCGTCTCACAAAAGCAAGAGTCGCCACCGCGCTTTATTGTTTCCAAAGGAAAAGGGAAAAGGGCGAAATAAAACCCTAAATATGCAATGTAAATAAAAAATACAAATACAAAGCGTTTTTGAAAAGAGATCGAGAGTTCGGGGGTTGGTTATACAATGGGAAGGTATTAGCACCCACTGTATCTATAGTACTCTATAGGAACCTTTTGAAATATCTGTTTTATTTAAAATTGATCGCTTGATTGAAAATAAATCGTTTTGGCCGAAAAAGGGATACAGACGGTTTTTTGAAAATGCGACGACCTAATGTCGAAGTTTTGGCTTAAAAGGTGTGAGTTTTGGAGAAATCGGATATTTGGAAAAATTATCCTAAGTTTCAATGAAATGAGGGTACTCGCTCGATCGTTTTTTGAGGACATGAAGTCAACAAAAAATTAGACTATTCCCTTTGGATTAACGCAAACCGAATAATCAAGTAAATGCGAGATATTGAAACAGGAAATTGTAAGATAAATGATATACAACAAATTAGATAAGAGACTGAGCGTGAACATGCATTTTTGATTTTTTGTTTAATATATGAAGAGAAAAATATTTTTAATTGGTTACGCATTTTAACATAGATAAAAAGTGACGAGAATTAATAGAAATGTTTTTAATGTTTTTATATATTTCTATTTTTTATGTTTTTATTAATAACACAGAGTAGTATTTAAGAGTTATTAAACAATTAGATTAAATCTTTAAACTCTTAATTTAAATCTAGTTAAAAAACTAAAATTAATAGATTAATCCTAAAGTTTAAACTAATAAAATAAAAAAGTCAAGTTATTAAAATTTGTTTAATTATGTGTTTATTTCTAGGAAACTAATTAGTTTAAATTAAATAAATTACCTAAGAAAATGAATAAAATCTAACTAAAGAACATATAAGATGGAGTGAATGGCAATGAGAGTGGGCTTAAGCTGAAAAAGAAAATGGGCTTAGTTAAAAAAGGAAATTGAGATGGGTGAGGGAAATGGAGCGGGTCGGGTCGTGGTAGGGCCCAGGAAGAGAAACACAAAGCTTGTAACAAGAAAACCTAGGGAAACCGAAGGCACCAAGGCCGCCGCCGCTGGATCCCTCTTCTCCCTCCTTGTCTTGGTGGCCCGAAGTTCTGTTGTAGCGCAAAATTTCCTCTTTCTCTTTGCCCTGATGGTCTGAAGTTCTGTTGTAGCGCATAAAGACAAGAGAGAAATTGACGTTGATCTGAATGTACGGGACTGAACGCCTACGAGTTTCGCTGATGATTGCAGACGTGAACATGATGATGAAATGTGGTTGCTGATTGGGAGTGTCAAAGTAGAAGAAAAGGAATGGTGGAGGGTGGAGAGTTGATCTGAAGCTGCGGCGGTAGACAATTAGCGACGAAGCCATCGCGGTGGTCGGAAATAGTAGGGTTTAAGGGGTTTTAGAGCATTTGAGAGAAACAGAGGTATGAAGAAGAAGAAGGGATGGCCGGATACGACGGAGTGCGCATTTGGATTTTTTACTGACTCTTCTTCCACTTTTCAAATCTGCTTCTCTAACTGTTGTTGTTATTTTTCACAGCCGTTTGCAAAGGGAATAGATGGAGAACTGGGAGATGGAAGGACGGCGGAGTTGATTGGGTGTTGGACCGGTAGGCATAGGCGGAGGAACTGTGATGGTAGTGGGGAGTTGAGGTCTACGGTTGAGGGCAGAACAAGAAGGGAGAAAGATGGATTTTACGCTGTGAGATGAAGGTTGTTGGTTTATAGGTGAAGGTTATTGTTTGGAAAAGATGATAAGGTTCATTAGTGATTTAATGAATCAAAGGTTTGTGCATGGTGAAAGATTTGTATGTGCAGGTGATGAAGAACCAAGAGGCAGTGAATCTTATCAGGCACATAGAGGATCCACAAGAAGCAGCTGAATGCCTAGCTAAGGAAGCATTGGTTAGGAGGAGCAAAGGTAACATTTCATGTTTAATCATTCGATTCGATTGATTCGTCATACTTAGCTGAATAGTAGAATGCCAGAACAGTTAGCAAAAAAATTTGTATACCAAAGTTGTTATAGAAATCTTACTGATACAACCTTGAAAGTTTTGTTTCTTAGTCTAGTAGATTCATGGGAGTATATTTGTGGCATATTAATTTTTAGGAAATTTTACATGTAATCTGATTATCTTTCTGTGAAGTGTGAAGCATGCTTGCAACTTACGCTGGGAGGAACAGATTGACCTCCATGCCGTCATACAAGAGCTCGACCTAAACTATCAACCGCGTTAGTCCAATTCTTGTATGTATTCACTGAGTTACCTCATTGGGGTCACTAGTTCACTGGTGGAACCGAACCGAACCAATCTGTTACACCGGTGGAACTTTTGTTTTGAATCATTGAAGAATAAGAATGACTTTCCTCGGGTAACATGATCATTTCTATCAAGCCATCATTATCCTTTTCTCTCTGATGTTGCTTCGGAACGATGATAACAAGGAGAAAGAGCGAGTAGACTTTTGAGGAGCTGCGTTGGTCGAATGAGTAATTGAAAAGGTTTGTGAATTTTCTATATTTTTTTACACGTTGGTTTTAAATTAACAGTATGTTATGATTGTGCCGGTTTTGCAACATTATGAATTTTGAAATTTATCGATCAAATTATTGCCTGTGTTAAAATAGGGATTTAATGTGTTGATGATTCGCAATGATATTAAATGGCCATTTTACATGTTTTCAGGAAATTAAGAGAGGATCATTAAGTGAGACAAAGGCAACACAAAGATATAAAGGTTTATGCGAAAAAAACTGAAGAAAAACTCACATGGTCGGAGCTAGTCCGACAGTACGATTCCGGCGAAGTCAGGTAAGCTCCGAAAACTCCTCGCTCCTTGCTTTCTGCCACTAATTCTTCTCTTCCTCTCCGTCTAAAAAAAAAACTGATTGGAAATATTGAATAAATGGTTTTTTGTGGTTTATTCGGTTTTGGTCAGTATGCTGGATGGTTTGACAATGTGCTTAGAAACGGTTTTACAATATGCAGGTTATGTTATATGCAGGATAGTTTTGAATATCCAGGAAAATGGTTTTGAATGGTTTTGAATATGCAGGTTTTGATATGCAGGATAGTTTTGAATATCCAGAAAAATGGTTTTGAATGGTTTGCTTGTATAGTATGCAGGATGTTTGAAATATGCAGGATAGTTTTGAATATGCAGGAAAATGGTTTTGAATGGTGCAGAATTATGAAAAAATGCAGGTTTATGAAATATGTCGGTTTATGAAAATATGCAGAAATGAAAATATGTAGAAATGGTTATGTGAAGATATGCTATGCAGGATGGTTCTGTGTAAAAATGCTATCTTGGACTTCCTTTTGAAGGGATCCCTTCTCATAGCCGTTGCTTTTTTGGCTCAGGTTTTTAGTATATTAATATATTTTCTGATGCTTTTTACATATGCTGCTACAAGGTTGACTTTATTCCCAATTCATGCTTAGGCCAAAACCTGCAAAATTGAACCTCTTCTCTCTCTCTCCCAAGTACAGAAATTGATATATATAAATGATATACTGTACATTTTTCTGAAATTGTAATGGGCTGGAATATGATGAAAGAGGAAATATACATTGCTTGCTTTCATAGTTTTAAAACTGCACATGCTGGAAATTTCATATTGTTTTTTGCAGGTTAACGTTGGCTTGTTATTTGTGAACTAAACATGCTGTTTGTATGGTTTATGCAGTTTTGAAATTTATGCATATTTGAAATATGCAGTGGGTTTTTTTTGATAAAAATGCAATTGATTTTGAAATGTGCTATTTTTTAATTGTGCATTCATTTAAAAATTCCTCTCTTTTTTGTGAACCGGGAGAAATCCCGTGATTTGCAAAAAAGAGTAACTGATTCCGGCCATTGCTTTTAATGATGAACATTGAATTTATTTTCTGCATTTTAATTATTTATTAAATTCTGACTTTTCTTTTAATCGTTTTTGCAGGTAAAATTAAATGAGCGAACAAGAGCATTGGATTGAAGATTTAGAATTAGAATTTAGAAAAATAGCTTTTTATTTACTTTAAGCATTTATGTAATTGTCTTTATAAATATTTTGTAATAACACAACATTTAAATGACAATTGTAATAAATAGAATAAAGTGAATAAAAATTCTATTATTTCTCAATTAATTCTTTTTCTTTCCAATTATTTATTTATTGTTTATAATTCTTTAAATTATATAATGACTGAAAAATCAAATCCAATCATTTAAATTCAGAATGATAAACAAATAAATAAATATCATTGATCAATTAATAACGTCAATTATTTATTTTATTATTATTTTTAATTCTTCTAAATTATAATAACTTGAAAAAATAGAATTTCAGCTATTAACTTTAGAACAATAAATAATCAAATAAACATTGCTTGATCAATTAATACTCATTTTCAAATGTTTATTTCGTTATTCATAAACCTTCAAATTATATAATAACGGAAAACAGGTTCCCATTATTTAAATTTAGGATAATGAATAATTAATAAACATTATTTGATCAATTAATAAACCCTTTTCTCAAATAATCTTTTTATTATTTATAAATCTTTAAATTACGTAATAATCGAAAATAAATTCCAATTATTTGAATTTAAGATAATAAATAATTAATGAACATTGTTTAAGTCTTGATTAGTTAATAAATTTAGCGTTCAACAAATAAACAGCTTCCGACTCGAAAAAGTTATGAATTTTTAAACTGCTTTGAAAATTTGATAAAATAGGTCAAAACCTCTGCAATGCGAATGATGCAGATGGAAGACGGTGTCTTAGGTCAAAATTTGGGGTACAACACTGGGGATACTGAAACTTAAATTCTGAGGGGAATTGCATTCTGGAGGATTCCCTGGCTGAGGGTAACAAAGATAAACTCTTCGGGGATTGTATTGATAAGTTATGCTGGGGGAACTCTGATGAACTCCGCTGAGGGTAGGAAGAATTTTGCCGAGTGCGATCTTCCGTGGTTGTTAGCTGAGGATAACCCAGTTATAAGCCCTTGTGAGGAATAACTTTGAATAAAACTCGGGAGAGACGTCCGTACTCTGCAGGGGATAAACTTCCAGAATCTACTGGGGATAAGCTTCAAGGTTTGCTGGGGATATGGATTCCAAATTTCCTGGGGGTTTCCCTTGAAGGGTATCAAGATATCCGACTGCACTTTTGACCTATCAGTAATCCTCTTTCTTGATTCGTAAGGAAATGATTATGTTCAAATGCATATGCCTATTTAACAAAACATTGGACGTTTCTAAAAAATAAACAAATAGTGCAAGAGAAAAGAAAAAGGAAATGACACAAATTTCTGGGAAAAGTATTGCTATTAACTTTTCTCTGAGTATGTTTGTACAAAGGAGACAATCATCCTAGTAAGAGGATTTTGTCGTAAATATTTGAAAGATTTATACAAAATAAAGATGGCTATGTGAAATAATTCCATGGGATTCCATTCTGCTATATCTTTCACAACTCTGAATATCTGTCCATTCAATGCTTCGTTTGCCGATGACTGGATTGATCAGAAGCCTGGAACTGGTTGATGAAGAGATTGTCTTTTGAAGTGATCCGACGAGACATATTCATACGCTTTAATTCCCTAACTTTTTCCTGAATCGCCCTTTCGGGTTTTCGATTCACCGGGAAACCCCTTTTTGCCCAAGCCGCCCTTTCGGGTTTTCGACTTGCCGAGTGTACAGATTTTTTTATTTTTATCCCTAATTTTTTCCTGAACCACCCTTTCGGGTTTTCGGTTCACCGGGATGCCCATTTTTTGCCCAAGCCGCCCTTTCGGGTCTTCGACTTGTCGGGTTATTTCATGCGTAGTATCTTTTGACTATGTCTGCGTTCGCAGGGTGCGACAAGTCGTCGCCGTCCATGGTGGTTAGAATCATCGCACCACCAGAAAATATGCTCTTGATCACAAATGGTCCTTCATATGTAGGAGTCCATTTGCCCCTGGGATCGCTTTGCGGCAAGATAATCCGCTTGATTACGAGATCTCCGACTTGATACACTTGACGTCTGACTTTCTTATTGAAGGCCTTGATCATCCGTTTTTGATACGTCTGACCATGGCATATAGCGGTGAGTCGCTTTTCGTCGATCAAGTTGAGTTGATCAAGTCGGGTCTGCATCCAATCGTCTTCATTCAAACCTGCGTCCTTCATAATCCTTAGAGAAGGAATATGGACTTCCATAAGCAAGACAACTTCCATACCATATACCAGAGAAAATGGGGTTGCCCCGGTCGAAGTACGTGCCGTCGTACGGTATCCATGTAGAGCAAACGGTAACATCTCATGCCAGTCTTTGTAAGTGACTGTCATTTTCTGAATGATCTTCTTAATGTTTTTGTTTGCAGCTTCAACAGCACCATTCATTTTCGGCCGATAGGGAGATGAATTGTGATGATAAATCTTGAACTGCTCGCATAATGCGGTGATCATTGTATTATTCAGATTTGTACCGTTGTCTGTGATGATCCTGTCTGGAACACCATACCGGCATATGAGATTTTGCTTGATAAAGCGGGCAACCACATTTTTAGTAACAGAGGCGAAGGAAGCTGCTTCGACCCATTTGGTGAAATAGTCAATGGCAACCAAAATGAAGCGATGTCCGTTGGAAGCCGTGGGCTTGATCTCTCCGATCATGTCAATGCCCCACATTGCAAATGGCCACGGAGCAGTCAGAACGTTGAGAGGAACCGAAGGGATATGAACTTTGTCAGCATAGACTTAACATTTGTGGCAAATACGGGAATGTTGATGGCAGTCAGCTTCCATGGTAGACCAGTAATATCCTGCCCTTAGGATCTTCTTAGCCATTGTATGCCCGCTCAAGTGAGTGCCAAATGTGCCGCTGTGTATATCAGTCATGATCAACTCTGCTTCAGCTTTGTCTACGCATCGGAGTAGTACACAATCATGGCTTCGTTTGTAAAGGATGTCGTTGCTCAGGAAGAACTTGGCCGCAAATTTCCTTAAGAACTTCTTGTCATTTATGGAAGCCCCTTCAGGATAATCTCTAGTCTCGAGATACCTTTTGATTTCATGGAACCAAGGTCGTTCCACTACTTCTTCGGTATTAATCTCATGACAATGCGCAGGTTCATCCATTCGCTCGATGGTGATTTGGGGAGACTCGTTATCCCAGTTGAGTTTAAACATGGAGGACATTGTGGCTAGAGCATCTGCTAGCTGATTCTCTTCTCGCGGGAAATGCTCGAAGGTAATTTGCTCGAAATGAGGCAACAATGTCAGGACATGTTCTTTGTATGGGATAAGATTAGGATGCTTGGTATCCCACTCTCCTTTGATTTGGCTGATGACCAAAGCCGAGTCCCCAAATACGATCAAAGATTTGATTCCCAAGTCTATAGCAGCCTTGAGACCAAAGATGCAAGCTTCGTATTAAGCCATGTTGTTTGTGCAGCTAAAGCAAAGTCGGGCCGTGAAAGGTGTGTGACAGCCTTCCGGAGAAATGAGCACTGCGTCAATACCATTTCCAAGTGCATTTGAAGCACCATCAAAGTACAGGGTCCATCGGGATCCCTTTTCGGGTCCGTCATACGGTCCGTTACCTTCAATGTTGTCCAAATTCATGATGTCCTCGTCTGGGAAATCAAATCTCATGGGTTGATAATCTTCGATAGCCTGATGAGCCAGATGGTCAGCTAGTACACTCCCCTTGATAGCTTTTTGGGTGGTGTACTGGATGTCATACTCTGTTAGAATCATTTGCCATCTAGCTATCCTTCCTGATAAGGCGGGCTTTTCGAAGATATACTTGATAGGATCCATTTTGGAAATCAACAAGGTAGTATGAGTCAACATATACTGCCTTAGTCGGCAAGCAGCCCATACCAAAGCGCAGCAAGTTTTCTCGAGCAGTGAGTAGCGAGTCTCACAGTCGGTAAACTTTTTGCTAAGGTAATAAATAGCATGCTCTTTTCGACCAGACTCGTCATGCTGGCCCAAAACACACCCCATTGAGTTATCCAAGACGGTCAAATACATGATCAATGGTCTTCCTTCGACGGGTGGCATCAAAATAGGAGGTTCTAGCAAATACTCCTTGATCCTATCGAAAGCAGCTTGAC